TTTTATCCGCAACGCGTGTGCGCAGTTTTTCGAGCTTGTCGATTTGATGCGCGGTTTCGCGGAAGGCAAAACTTTTCTCCGCAATTTCGCGGACTTGTCCGAAACTTTTGAAGGCATCAAGCAAATTCAAAAGACTCGTGTAGGTCGAACGAAATTTGCTTTGCAGTTCGTCGGGCGGAGATTTGAGAAGCTCGGCGATCTTTTTCGGATTTTGAAATTGTCCCGGCGCGAGTACCGCAAACCCGACATTGTCTTTTCCGCGCCGTCCGGCACGTCCGGTCATTTGCTGTAATTCGGATGCGCGAAGCGTGCGCCAGCCGTCGTTGCCGCGTGCGTCGGCGTTTGTGATAACGACCGTGCGGGCCGGGAAATCGACTCCGGCGGCAACCGTCGAAGTCGCAAAGATCGCGTTGAGCAATCCTTTCGACATCATTTTTTCGATCAGTAATTTCCACGCCGGAATATGTCCCGCGTGATGCGCCGCAACGCCGCCGCGTATCAAAACCTTGCGGTGTTTATGACGTTTTATTTCAGGATTTTCAGCCGCAAATTCTTCAAAAATCTGTTCACGAATGAGTTGTTTTTCGCTGTCTGTTTTTTGCGATTTGTCGAGCGCAACTTCTGTTGCCGCTTCGTCGCACTTACGGCGTGTCGGTAAAAACACGATTGCTGGAAGCAGATTGTTGGTGCGTAGAGCCTTAATCAGTTTCGGCGGCGGAATTTCGGTAAATTTTGGATTCATTCAATTTTTTACTTCAATATTCAATATAACTTAATTGCCGTGAGAGTAGAAGAACGATTGAATTGCAATTCCGAACCTTTCTGTTTCGGGTTTTGCAGATTCGGCAAACTCAGCGAAAGTTTTGTATGCTGATTATTCAAATCCGCATCAACTTTCCGGTAAATCGAAATCAGAATATGTTAACCAGCTTTCTTAACTATTTTCAAAAAGTTACTTTTGTTATGCGCCTTTTCTTTAACGCTAAATTTGAATTGTGTAGTCAAGGAAATTGTCTTTCAAGAAACGATTCTCAATTGATGTTAGATATTGGAGTTGGAATTTGCGGGAACGGCGCAAAATCTCAAATGTCAGATAATTTTGAAATCGAACGCCACCACACAGTTAAGGAAAATAATAGAAAATTTTCACTAAAATCCATTTTTCTGTTAATAAGTATTGAAAAAAAACGAAAAAAAGTTTATGAATAAGGTTTGTTTGCTAACGCTACAAACTATACGGCTGATTTACAAACTTCCGGCTAAAGATGATTTCAAAGGTCTTTTGAATCAATGAAAAGAATATATTTGCAAAAAGCAAAAAACCAAATCGCGCGTCCCACAACTATTCGTGACATAAATAAGCAGATCGTTTTGAATTATGTCCGAGACCGCGCACCTATTTCGCGTGCCGAAATAGCACGCGAAACGGCTTTGCAGCGGTCAACC